AGAGGGAAGGACAGACAGCTGCTGGCAGAAGGAGGCTCTGTGAGCCCCAGACGGTGTCAAAACCAAGGCAGAAAGGATCAGCCGAGGAAACGAGGGAGATTTCCTCTTAAAACAGAAGGGTTTGGGTGAGCCTTAAAATGGCGAGCCTGCACCAAACAGTTTCGCATCCGTTCATATAAAATAAAGGCCAGAAGCCCAGGAGAAACTGGCCAGCCTACAGTCACAGTGGCCAGGGGTCTACCAGGAAATCCCATCCAAAACAGAAGATAAAGTATTGCATCTTGTACCCCCCACCATTTAAAAGGAAACACGACACATGGTAGGCCTCTCTGGGTTCTGGCGACAACATGTTCCCACACCACAGAAGACTGCTTTGGTCCATGTCCCAGGTGATCTCAAAGCCTGCCACATTAGTTTGGGGCCCAGGGTAGGCGAGTCTCTGTAGCAGCCCTGCAACCCTAGGGTACATGAGGGGTGGAGCAGTTGCAAGTCCAGAGGCCACAAACACACTGCATGAACAGACTGCCACATCCTCATGTCACCCACACCTGCTGCACTGCCACCTTACCTCACATGACACCCATGACCATGTGAGGGATTCCTGATCATCAAGTTCTGGGAAGGAAAAAAACTTGAGTTCATTTGATTCTCACAACTCTATGAGATTGACAAGAGTATAGCACCCATTTTGCAGTTGCAGAAATGAGGCGCAGGGAGTGGAAATGAGTTGTTGGAGATCACACACCTGAAAGGTGGACAGGGCAGCCTGAAACCTATGTTCATTATCCCAAACACTGCTGTTTCCACTGATCAGTTCTCTCCATTTAAAAAGCATGCTCTAGGGGCCGGCCAAGTGGTGCGATGGTTAAGAACTGGGTTGGGACACCAGAGGGCGGGCCCTGGTTCGGATCCCACATATGAGGGCCAGTGACACTGCTCTCCACAGCTAAGATGCTGAACAACAGCTCAACCTGGAGCTGTGCTGCCGTGAGTCACCGGTGATGGCATAGGTTGCAGCCCCTGTGGCAGTGGGTTGCCACGGGCTACTGTGTGTAGCCAGCAGCCAGCGTGAGCAGCCAGCAGCCAGCGTGAGCGGCCAGCAGCCATCCAGAAGCTGGCGACTGACCTGCCTCGCCCGGGAAGAGCGCAATGATGGTGCCAACTTGGGCCAACTTGGGCCAGTGGGGCAACGTCCTCCACAACTAGACTGAAGAACAAAACGACAGCGGCTTGTCTGTTCCCTTTCCCCCAATTCCCCAGCACTGTTCCCATCCCCCCAATTCCCCAATAAAATTCTTTTTAAAAAAAGCATGTTCTACACCTCCTTATGCCATATACATGAATACACTCAAAATGGATTAAAGACTTAAATCTAAGACCCGAAACCATAAAACTCCCAGAAGAAATCATACACAGTAAACTCTCTGACACTGCTCTTAGCGATATTTTTTTTCCGCTATTTCCTCGGGTAAGGGAAACAAAAGAAAAAATAAACAAATGGGACTACATCAAACTAAAATGTGTTTGCACAGCAAAGGAAACCATCAACAAAACGAAAAGACAACCTACTGAATGGGAGATTTTTGTCAATGATATATCTGAAAAGGAGTTAATATCCAAAATTTATAAGGAACTCATAAAACTCAACACCAAGAAAACAATCTAATTAAAAAATGGGTAGAGGAACTGAATAGACATTTCTCCAAAGAGGATATACAATGGCCAACATAAGTATGACAAGATGCTCAGCATCACTAATCATCAGGGAAATGCAAATTAAAACCACAATGAGATACCACCTCACTCCTGTCAGAATGGCCATCATCAATAAATCAACAAACAAGTGTTGGGAGAATGTAGAGAAAAGAGAACCCTCATGCACTGTTGGTAGGATTGCAAATTGGTGCAGCCTCTGTGGAAAACAGTTTAGAGGTTCCTCAAAAAATAAAAAAATAGAACTACCTTATGACCCACCAATTCTACTTCTGTGTATTTACCAAAGAAATCCGAAACACTAATTCAAAAAGACATATGCACCCCTATGTTCACTGAAGCACTATTTAAAATAGCCAACATATGGAAGCAACCTAAGTGCCCATCAATAGACAAATGCATAAGAAAAATGTGGTACATTTATACAATGGAGTATTCTCAGCCATAAAAAAGAATAAAATCTTCCATTTGTGACAACATGAATGGATCTAGAGGGCATTATGTTGAGTGAAATAAGTCAGACAGAGAAAAACAAATACCATATGATCTCATTTACATGTGGAATCTAAAGAACAAAATAAATGAACAAATAAAACAGAAACAGACTTATAGATACAAAGAACAAACTGATGGTTTCTAGATGGTAGGGAGCTTGGGGAAATAGGTGAAAAAGGTGAAGGAATTCAGAAGTACAAACTGGTTACAAAATAGTCACGGGATGTAAAGTACAGCATAGGGAATATAGTCAATAATATGGTCATAACTATGTATGCAGTCAGATGGAATCAGGAGGATCACTGCATAAGTGATATAAATGTTTGACCACTATGCTGTACACCTGAAACTAATATGTCAACCGTAACTGAAAAAAATAATTAAAAGATAAAATAAAATAAAATAAAAAGCATGATCTAGTTGTTATACTATGAGTCACCATTTAGCCTCTTTTATAAGACCAACAGCTCACAGTCCTGTTCAGAAGACACAAGTCTTTGTATATATGAGGCGTGATAAAAAATATGATAAATGCTTAAATTAAAAATTATTACAGGGGCGGCCCGTTGGCTCAGGTGGTTAAAGTGCAGGCTCTTAACACCAAGGTTGCTGGTTCGATTTGCACATGGTCCAGTGAGCTGCACCCTCCACAACCAGATTGAAAGACAATGGCTTGACTTGGAGCTGAGTCGCCGGTGGACAGCCAGTGGCTCAGTTGGTTAAAGCACGGTGCTCGTAACACCAAGGTTGCCAGTTCAATTCCTACATGGGCCACTGAGTTGCGCCCTCCACAACTAGATTGAAACAACTACTTGACTTGGAGCTGGTGGGTCCTGGAAAAACACACAGTTCCCCAATAAAGTTAAAAAAAATGAGTTTTAAAAAACTGTATTACAGTAAAAGACACATTGCCATTAATCCCCCTCAAAATGCTCCCCCTCGCTTTGAACACACTTATCCCATCGTTCTTGCCACTTTCTGAAGCAGTTCTGGAAGTCCTCTTTCATGAGGGTCTTTAGTTGCGCTATTGTGGCTGCCTCCATGTCCTGAATTGGTTCAAAACGTTTACCTTTCACGGTCATTTTGACTTTGGGGAAGAGCCAGAAGTCGCAGGGTGCCAGATCCGGTGAATAAGGGGGATGAGGACACACCGTAATGCTTTTATTTGACAGAAATTGCCGTATACCAGAAGTGATGTGTGACACGGAGCATTGTCATGATGGAGAATGAAGTAAAGACACTCAGGAAAGAGGACTTCCAGAACTGCTTCAGAAAGTGGCAAGAATAATGTGATAGGTGTGTTTGAAGCGAGGCGGAGTATTTTGAGGGGATTAATGGCAATGTGTATTTACAGTAATTTTTTTATTTAAACATTCACCATATCTTTTGATAACCCCTCATATATCTATATGTTATTCATGAGAAATGAAAATACATATGTATATATGTGGCAAAGGATGGAGTCTCATGTGGTGATTAATACAATAAACACACAAACATACAGAAAAAAGTCATTTAAACACAGGAGAAATACACTGACCTGAATAAGATTAGGAATGTGGTTCTGGTCAATTCCAACTTGCTGAATTCACCAAAAAAAAAAAAAAGAGGAAAAAATTACACATTACAGCAGAATGTGGCAACAAACAAAAGTAAGTGTGAGAGACCAATGTGGACACAAAAGAGAAAATACCCCAGAGCAAGGATGCCTTGCTGGTTTGCTCCCTATCTAGATCAAGAAAAACATCAGGCTAACATAAAAATGCCAGGCTTAGTTTGTACACTCAAGCACAAATTTATACTTGTCCTAAGGATAAAACTATAAAAGACTTGCCAGATACTGAGTCTTTGCTGTCTGGATAACCAAATGTGTTGTAATTTTTCAAGTAGTTGGAGTCAGCTATTATTCATATTGCTGTTCTCCTGTAGGTAATATGTGTGTTTTGTTTTTTCAGTTTTCAGAAGTTCCACTATTACTTGCCTAGATATGGTTCTCTTTGTATTTATCTGCTTGGGTTCTTCTGAGTATCAGGGCAAATGTGGGGCTCACCTCATGTGTTTCCTTGTCTTATTGATCACAGACCTGTTCTACTTGAAAAGACTTATGTCATATATATTTTGGCCTGGTTTTAGAGTTGTGTCTGCTGGGAGGGTAAGCTTGTGACCGGTTACCCTCATGGCTACAAAGAAAAATCCTTGTAAGATTGCTTCTGAGCACAAGTGCATTGAATAGTACATCTGAAGTACCTAATTTTAGTTTTTAGTTTTATTGTTCACAAGATAGTTAAAACTACTACCGATTTCTGTGTGTTTGCGTGATGGCGACAGTAGGGGGGTAGTTATGTTGGATACTAAACTAATACAGAAAACAGAAAAGCCAGGGATAGAATTACATTTGCATACCTGTGCAACTTTCAGGAATTGTGCCAATTTGGTTGTTCTTCCAAGAAACTTGATGTAAATATCCAAACTTTCCTTGCACTGGTTCTTCGTCATGTCAAAGTACTTATCTAAAAAAAGAAAACAACAATTACCATAAAGAAGCCAATAACTAAGCAGTTTTCAAGTTTCACTCCTTTCTGATGATCCCAGTTCAAGCTGATTCTGGAAATGATTTTAACTTATTCAAAATAATTATAGTTTTAATCCAGTTATTTTTCTGTTTTAAAAAACAAAAACAGGGCCAGCCGAGTGGCGAGCTGGCTTGGGATGCCAGAGGGCCCCGGTTCGGATCCCACATATGAGGGTCAGTGACATTGCCCTCTACAGCTAAGATGCTGAACAACAGCTCGACCTGGAGCTGGGCTGCCGTGCGTAGGCTGCGGCCCCTGCTGCAGTGGGTTGCCATGGGCTACTGTGTGTAGCCAGCAGCCAGCGTGAGCGGCCAGCAGCCGCAGTGAGCGGCCGTCCAGAANTGCTAGGTCAAAGACTGCTTCAGGAAGAGGGAACAGACATAGTAGGTGGTTAAGCAGTGGAAGAAAAGATTGTAATACTGTCCTCAATAACTACTGACATAATCATATAATAAAGTTCTATTACCTGCAAACCAAGCTCTGTGTGGTGAAAGCGCCACAACCGGTCTATTTGAGTTGGAAGTAAGCAATGCATGCTGGAGACTTAAGAGATCACAAGAAAGGTGAGGCACAAAAGAGAATAAATAGAATTTCATATATCCTATCCAGTTGAGCCTGCATTTCTTTAATTCATCCACTTATCCAACCATCCACCAATGAATCCATCCATCCTACTATACACTAACTATACATCTATCTGTGATAAAGAGATAATTAAGAAACAGTCAACAGACTTGTCTAATAGAAGGTGATTATATAAATCAATTATAATCAATATAACCTAAAAGTAGAATGAATGAGTAATACATGACCCTTACAAAAATTTTGGACAATAATGAAAAGTACACAAAAATTTGAAATAAACCATAATTTTCCACTCAGAAAGAGCTAATATTAACATTTTCAAGTGATATTCCTCAAAATTTCTATTATTCAATTTGTATGTATATGCATATGAGGCCTGACAATTAAGTTCGCAAACTTGCTGCAACAATGTTGCTAACCTTTTTTGATATCAGAGGGATTATTCATTAGAAATTTATACCAACTGGACCAACAGTTCACCAAGTTTACTATTTGGAAGTGCTGAAAAGGCTGCATGAAAAAGTTAGACAACCTGAACTTTTCGCCAACAATTCATGGCTCTTGCATCATGACAATGCACCAGCTCACACTGCACTGTCTGTGAGTGAGTTTTTAGCCAGTAAACAAATAACTGTATTGGAACACCCTCCCTAATCACCTGATCTGGCCCCCAGTGATTTCTTTCTTTACCTGAAGATAAAGGGAATATTGAAAGGAAGACATTTTGATGACATTCAGGACATCAAGGGTAATATGATGACAGCTCTGATGGCCATTCTAGAAAAACAGTTCCAAAATTGCTTTGAAGGGTGGACTAGGCATTGGCATCGGTGCCTAGCTTCCCAAGGGGAGTACTTCGAAGGTGACTTGTGATATTCAGCAATGCAGTATGTAGCACTTCTCCTAGGATGAGTTCGCGAACTTAACTGTCTGACTTCGTATGTACAGTACATTTATGTGTGTATATGTATACACTTATGTATATGTCTTAAATATTATTATGCACACTGTTTTGTGGATAAACCCTTTGCCATGCCATTAAGCAATCATCTACAACATTCATTCTCACTAGGGCAGCCCCTAAGGAAGGAAATCAAATTCTTCAAAAGAAGGGAGTAATTCAGTCCCAGTCTCTGACTTTGGGAATCACTCTATGTAATAAAAGATGTTCCTTTGGGAAGCAATCACCCTTGTGAAGAGTATGGAATTCCACAAAAGGCTGACAAATTCTATTCTCTATTATCACTTAAGATGACTCCATAGTATTCCATCATATATTCAAAGCGCATAATTTATTTAGCCACTCTCATGTTGTCAAAATGAGGGAAATTATTTAGAGGGAAACAAAAGTAACCTATCCTCAGACATTAATTAACTTACCTGTTAGGAGGGAAACTGTCATTTTCCTCTTCTATAGAAGCTAAATGCTGTTCTAGTGCTTCAACTAAACTGTGGGGTACCTAAAAATAAAGTTATCATGAAAGAGTTATTTTCTAATAGTTCTTAGCAAATTCATACTCTGCTCCATCACAAAAAGGATTTGAATAAAAATTAAAACACCTGTACAGCAAATGCATTAAAGCTAAATAAATGCTGCAAGTCAATTCATTATTAAAAGTAGCATCTTGGTACCAAATCATATTTACTAACTATGCTTTCTACGTACATTCTTTAAAAATAACAACAACCAAAAAGCCTCTTAAAGTGATCAAAGAACTGCTAAAATGTCTACCCGCTTTGGAGAAGGCACTGGGCTTGAAATAATTCATTATTTGTGGTTTCTTCATGAGTCACCTGGTCATAAAATAAAGTAAAACATCAAACTTAGAGGAGAAGAGGGAGAAGGGGAGAGAGGGAAACAGAGAAAGAAAGAAAAAGAGAGAGAGAGAGGGAATCTCACTCATATTAGCAAATTCAATCATGGTTTATGTTCTCTGCTGAAATGTCACATCCTCAACGGTGATTTTCTTTTTTTTTTTAATTAAAGTTTGTTGGGGTGACAATTGTTAGTAAAGTTACACAGGTTTCAGGTGTACAGTTCTGTAACACATCATCTATATACCACATTGTGTGTTCACCACCCAGAGTCAGTTCTCCTTCCATCACCATGTGTTTGATCCCGTTTACCCTCGTCTACCACCCCACAACGGTGATTTTCTTAACTACTGTATAGAAAGCAGTACCGACCAAAAGTCCCTTTACCCTCACTATGTTTTATTTTTCTTCAACACTTACCTTTATTGAAATTACCAGTTTCTTTCTTTGTATGTATATTGTCTGTCTCCTGGCAACAGAATATAAACCTCCACAAAGAAAGGATTTTTTTCTGTTTTTGTTCACTGATACATCTTAAGTGCTTGGCACACAGTAAGTGTTTAATTAATACTGGGTTGTCAGAAAAGTCATGACGCATTTTTTCCTATGTTTTTCATCACAAAAACACATCACGGCTTTTCCAATAACCCAATATTTGCTCACTGAATGTGGATGCATCTTTTTTATTCTCCATTCCCATTAAAAATGGAAAAAGTGGATTTCTTACATAAGGTCAATAGATTCCCCACAAGGGTTCTATGTATCCCACCATGTCACTCCTGGTCCAATCAGTCACTCAGTGGGAAAAGTTTATTGATAAACTCCTATACACAAGGCATTCGGGACACAGTCATGTGCAAAAACAACCTGTTCCCAGGCTTCATGACTTGGGAAGCTCCAGTCTACAGGACTGGGGGGTAGAGATATCAAATAGTCACATGAATAAATGTCAAATCAATGGAAACAACCAAAATGCCCATCAATAGATGA